CCAGACTGGCTGGGGTGAGGCTGACCCCCTAGGTCCCCCCACAAAGCAGAATAGACTCTACTCGTCTCCCTCAGCGTCTTCTCCTCCTTCATTCTCTTATCCTTCCGTCTCTCCCCATAGCCCTTGCTCCTCACGGGTCATCCAGATCCAACCCCAGGAGCTTGCCGACGCCAACGACAACCACACCTGCCACCCATCCCCTTATGGGCACCCCAGCATGGCCACCAGCACCCAGATCACCACCACCGTGCAAGCCTTCACCCGATGTGACCCCTCGGGCCACCATGTCGTCACCGTCCTGCCACCCACCTCCCAGGTGTGCACCTCGCCCACCGTCCTCCTGCCCCCCACTGACCCCCTGGGCTCGCAGGTCTTCAACCCATCCAGCTCCACCCGGGACCTGCTGGCCCAGCTGGACGAGGCCAAAGGTGGGCGGCAGTGTGTCCCCCTGCCCTTCTGCCGCTGGAGCCTCGCTGACTTCGCCCGGGAGAAGTATGCCCCGCTCCTCCTGCGGACCCGCACCAAGGTGAGGTGGGGATGGCTCCAGTCGGTGCCACCCGAGGCGGGTGGGTGGCACGGGACCCTGCCTGACCACCTCTCTGCTGTCCCTGCAGGCGGTGGTGGTGGTGCTGTTCCTGGCGCTGCTGGGACTGAGCCTGTACGGCACCACCATGGTGCATGATGGGCTCTACCTGACGGACATCGTGCCACGGGACACCAAGGCTCATGCCTTCATCTCAGCCCAGTTCAAGTACTTCTCCTTCTACAACATGTTCATTGTCACCAAGGGCGGCTTCCACTACCCAGGTGCCCAAGCCGCCCTGCTCAGCCTGCACCAGGCCTTCAGCACCGTCAAATATGTGGTGCGGGAGGGCAACCATGACCTGCCCAAGATGTGGCTCCATTACTTCCAGGACTGGCTGCGAGGTGAGGGACATCCCTTTTCTCCGTGACCTCCCCTCTCCAAGGACCATCTTCCCAGCCCACAGCCTCATCCGCTGGCTTGGGAATGCCCTCCCTGGTGTGTGGCACCCTGGGGAGGGTGGTCCTGTGGTGTCCCCAAGGTGCCCAGCAATGCCAAGCTTAACCCTAGGCTTTCTGCATGCCCATCCTGCTGGCACCATGCTCCCCGAGGCACACGAGATGCTGTGCAGAGTGGTGTGCCCCAAAGGATGCTCACCCCCTGTGCTGCGTCCCCAGGGCTCCAGGCCACCTTCGACAGGGACTGGCAAGCTGGGCGCATCACCCTACCGCAACGGCTCCGAGGACGGGGCACTGGCCTACAAGCTCCTGATCCAGACTGGCAACAAGAAGGAGCCCTTCAACTTCAATCAGGTATGTGGGGACAGGGCTGGGTCATCTGGGCTGGAGATGATGCTGTGACCCCTGCCCAGCTCATGCCCACTTCTGCTCTCTCCCTGTAGCTGACCACGCGGCGGCTGGTGGACGAGAACGGCATCATCCCCCCTGACACCTTCTACATCTGCCTGACAGTGTGGGCCAGCAACGACCCCCTGGGCTTTGCCGCCTCCCAGGCCAACTTTTACCCGCCGCCGCCCGAGTGGATCCATGACAAGTATGACACCACGGGCGAGAACCTGCGAAGTGAGTGAGCGCGGTGGGCTCTCCCTACAGCCCCCCCGGCATCTTCTTGCCATGAAGCCCGCTCCCTGCACCTTTTCTGCCCCGCAAACTACCCCTGGTAGAGAACCTGCTTCCCCGTGTCCCACTCTTATCCCCCTGCACCCCACACCCTGAGCACCCCACTGCACGCTCCCTGTGCCCTTAGCAGGCAGCAAACCCCACCTGCTCCAGCCCATGAGCATCCCACCACAAAGCCCCTCCTCTCCGTTCCCCCTCTGCTCCGCAAGCATTCCCCTGCTCTCCATGACCCTCTACTCAAGCATCCTACAGGCAGAGAAACTCCTTCCTCTTTGCCCCAGTCTGCTCCCCGCACACTCCCCAGCACCGTGGTACCCGTCCGGGCATCGGGTTGGTGTGGCGGGAGTGTCCCCATGCTGCCCGTAAGCCCATACTGCCCATGCTCTCCTCCTCAGTCCCGGCAGCCCAGCCGCTGGAGTTCGCCCAGTTCCCTTTCTATCTGAGTGGTCTGCGTCGCACGGCCGACTTCGTGGAGGCGATCGAGAGTGTGCGAGCCATTTGCCGAGAGGCGGCCCAGCGCCACGGGGTGCTGAGCTACCCCAGCGGCTACCCCTTCCTCTTCTGGGAGCAGTACATCGGCCTGCGACACTGGTTCCTGCTGGCCATCAGCATCCTGCTGGCCTGCACATTCCTTGTCTGCGCCCTGCTGCTGCTCAACCCCTGGACGGCCGGCATCATCGTGAGTATTCACCCCAATGCATGGGGATGGGGAGAGTGACCAGCCGTGCTGCCCTCCTGATGAGTGGGGACAGGGACATCCAGCCTTGCTCCCATCCTGCTGGGTGGCCCTGGGTACCTGAGTTGTGGGGATGGGGTGGTGGGGTAGAAGGGACACCCATATGGAGGTGGCAGAGGGTGAGGGACACCTGTATGGGACAATCAGGGACGGCACTTAGGAAGGGAACATGTGGAGGGGACAGGGATCTGGAGACATCCATGCAGAATAAGGTAAAGGGAACACCCCTGTGGAGGTGGCAATGAGTGGGGGACCCATATGGAAGAATCGGGGACACGCCTTGTGAAGGGAACATGTGTACTGGGCAGGGGTTTGGGGACATCTGTGCAGAGGAGTGAGGGTCACCCTCAACAGATGGGACAGAGGGACACCCAACTTAAAGGGAAACGGGGCAATGGGGTTGAGGCTGCCCTATATGGAGGAGTAGGGTGGGACATGCCAGGTGGAGGGGCAGAGGGGACAGCCAGTCAGAGCTATCCCTTACTGACCCCACCATCATCCTAGGTCTCCATCCTGGCCATGATGGCAGTGGAGCTGTTTGGCATCATGGGACTGATGGGCATCAAGCTGAGCGCCATCCCCGTGGTCATCCTCATTGCATCGGTGGGCATCGGTGTGGAGTTCACTGTCCATGTGGCCCTGGTAAGCACAGGCAGACCGCTTCCTAGCTTGTGGGGCACCCCAGTTCCCACTCCCTGCCACCCTCACCACCTCAGCCACATGCTGATGGGTGGCCAAGCCATGGGTGGCAAATAGGGACAAACCCTGCATGACATCCCTATTCCATGCAGGGCTTCCTGACAGCTGCAGGGAGCAGGAACGTGCGTTCAGCCGCAGCATTGGAGCACACCTTTGCTCCTGTGATGGACGGTGCTGTCTCCACCCTCCTGGGTGTCCTCATGTTGGCCAGTTCTGAATTTGACTTCATCATGAGGTGAGCGCTGGAGAAAGGTGAACCAGATGCGTTATGCCCACCCAAAAGCTTTGTTATCGGGGGCTGGCGAGCATGGCAGCCCTCTTGGTTGGTGGTGGTGGGGATGTGGGGCAGCTGGACTTGTCTTGCTGGGGCATCCATCCAATCTTGCATGTCAGGAGCTGGGGGTGTGTGGTGTGGGTGGCTGCATTTGGGGTGGGACAGGGTTCATGATGGCTCTACCACTCCTTCTGCCTGCACCCCCCTCCAGGTACTTCTTTGCGGTGCTCACCATCCTGACACTGCTGGGGCTGTTCAACGGGCTGGTGCTGCTGCCAGTCCTACTCTCCGTCATTGGGCCACCTCCTGAGGTACAAGGCTACCATCCCACCTCTTCCTCTCTCCCCAACCTTGTACCCACCTCTCTTCATCCTCCTGTGCCCTTCACCCTGTCCCCTCTTCACCCTATGCCCATCCTTGCCTTGTTCAGTCCCAACCTCACCTTGTACCCACTTACCCTCTACCACCCCTGCTTTACCCCATCCTTTCTGTGCCCCATATCCAACTTGCCCCTTACGGCTTG